GCTGAGGTCAGGACTTGAAGAACTAACTCCGTACTTAGTTTCTAACTAGTAATTGGTACTCTTTATGGAGTACGGAGTAGCATGTACGTATGTACTTGGTAAGGAGTCGCTGAGGATGTCTAATAAAGATGCTGGAGATATTGAATGTGTCTGTCGCACTCTGGGTAAAGGTAAGGCAGGTACTATGTTACCTATTGTCTGTCTTGCAGTTTACTGGTCTGTGGGAGACCGGTTAGGGGAACATCCCCTCCATAAAGTGCAGAACACATCATGATTATGGCTTTCAGTGGCTTGAAGTCCTCCACCTCAACCTCAACTAGGAGACATTGTACTACTGTATCACTTGTGTACTGTCGCATAGCCCAACTGCCTTGCCTCACCAGAAATATCTACCTAGCCATCTACTCACTATTGTCTAGGTAATTTAGCTTGGGAACAAACCCTTACTTGCTGTCTACTCCTCCTTGAGTCGGTGCAACCTATCCTCCTGTACGTGCCGGCCTAAAGCTCGCCACCTGACAATCGTAAGCAATCCGCTGATTCCGCTCGAATGCTCTGGATAATACCTATCAGACATGATACTGTATCCATCTCACGACGGGCCGCCAAGGCCACACAACCATTATGGATGAAATTGGTAATGGTCAAATAATATTATTAATTACTATGACTTGCCAATACGATACCAGCATCAAAACGAGGCTGGAGTTTGCCCATTGTAAGCACGTGACGTACCCTTTGTGCTATTAAAGTGGAACCCATCGTCATTCGTCGAAGTACATGCCTTATATTGCCAGTTGCTCCAAGGTCTCCAATCCATTTGCAACTCAGGGTCAAGTCACCAGTTCACGGCAAGAGGCTATTCTTTGAAGTTCTGCAAGCATTGTACGAGGCGAGTGAATCGACCTGCATTGTCAGTACGTATTACCTACCCCGAGGCTGGAGAATGGAGAGACCGCCCAGTCGCGTGATCATACTTTGAGTGGCGAGAATCCTCCGTGATGGACAAAGTACGGAGTAGATACTCCGGCCCGCCTGACCATAATCCAATTCGATCGCCGGTAAATATGCTGTGAGGCTCATACCTAGTAGTGTTGGAGGAGCTTCACCGGTGCAATCAGAGGCCTATCGGCATTCGTATGGTCTCATATTTTAATTAGTATCAATTCCTTTCGTCGTTAAGTACTACCTGCAATAGAGCAAGAGCCGACGACGGCGTTTACCCAACTTCAACTCACGTTCATACCGAATGGAAGCAATTGATTCATCTATTCTGGAAATCCTTGACATCGTGTTGTGCGGATACTCAGAAATATGAGCAGTACTGCACATTCTTGGGAAGAGTCACCCGTCTTCCCAAGATATATATCTCGGGCATGGAGTACGATCATCGGATCTGGACATTATTTTCGGTACCATTAGTGCTTTACCGGATACATTAAGTATTCAGTCGAATCCTCCATGGCCTCTCGGTACAGACAGGAAACATTCTGGTCTTTTGCCGTGTCTATTAGCGATCATAGAAAGATCTTAAAGCTCAATAATGCCAATCAGGGAAATACGCCCCGGTTGTCCAATATGGCCAGAATTACTCCCTAGGGTAAGTACATAGGAGCCCACCCTACAACCTAAGGCATGGTTCATCGCTTAGCTCGCCAATAGTCTCCTTTCCATAGGTATGATCCACAGTAACCCAATAACCTGGGCCACTGACCAGTCCCACAATATTCAGGATACTGTACTTACAGCGCAGACGGTTTGGGGGTTTCAGTACGGAGGACAGATATCTACTTGAATCAGACAAGCTTACAGACATCCTTCAAAGCTCGTATCTCTCGATTGGGGTCCTACTAACAGGCAGCGCCATGCGGCCTTAATTACTCGGGCTGGCTATTGGAATTGAAACCCTGGCATGTCGACACATTACCGGAGCAATTAGAATGGTTCAAACAATTGATTCCATTGAAAAGAAAACCCTGCTAATTGCTCCGAATAAAAACCAAGGATATCCCAGACGTAAAACATGCGCTCGTAAAGGTCCCATCAATTTACACTCGAGAAAACGCCGATTTGGCAGAACATAGTTCCCTTGAAAATTGCTTTTTTTTGGTGCGTGAGAAGTACACTTTTTGTTGAACTATCGCTCTCGGTGATACTTCCAACATGACACAGCTGCCATTTCACTGAAAAGCATTTAAGCAGCGAGCTCACGGATCTTCTGCTCAACGCGAGCCTTCTTCTCGTCGTGGGACAGCTTGGTCTTTCTGTACTTCTTGCTCTCGGCCTTCCACTCCTCCTTGGACTTCTTGGGCTCCTCGTCCTCGTCCTTCTTGAAGGGGTCCTCACGGATGGCCTTGTGAGCCTCAGTGTAGATGTCCTCGAGGTCACCGGCGTCGATCTCGTTCTCAATGTACTTGGCGAACTGGCTGCGGTAGCGCTCCTCATCGTCGTCGGCGAGGGTCTCCATGTACTCAGAGACGTGGCCACCGAAGATGTAGTTGCGGAGGGTCTCAGCGTCGAGCTCCTCGGACTCGATGTCGAAACCGGGGAAGCGGTTCTCAGAGTGGGGGATGAAGATACCACCGTCGGAAGCACCCTTCATGGCACCGAAGACACGGGCACCAGTGGAGGTACGGACAAGACCAACGTCGAGGAAGGCCTTGAAGGGGCGGCGGGTGCCATCATCGGTCTCGATGGCCTCGGTGAGCTTGTACTCACCATCGGCCTCCTCAACGCCGGTGAACTCCTCGTCGAGGCCGAGCTTCTTGAGGGTACGACGGGCAAGGAGCAGACCGGTGGCATAGGCGGCAGCCCAGTTGGTCAGACCCTGGGTGATACCATAGCGCTTGAGCTCGTGGGAGTAGGCGCTGGCGAACACCTTATCACCGGTGATCTCAGAGTAGACGATCTGGGTGATGATGTCGCGGTTGGTGAAGCGCACAACAAGACGGTACTTGGGAGCGTTGTACTTGTTCTTGGCCTGGGTGATCAGGCGCTTACGGGCATAGTAGTCGGTCTTGCCCTCTCTGCGGCGGCGGTACTTGGTCTGGTAGCGACTGTGATGGAGATTATTAGTTCTGCGGTTACCAGAATGATAATTCCACACGAAGACTCACCTGTAGTACGCGCTGTTCTTGACGAGCTTGTGGAAAGGCTACAAGAAAAACCCCCGAGTCAGCAATTTGCGCTTCAGAAAGATTCAAACACAGGCGTCCGAAGCATCTTGCAAAGACCCGTTCCCCGTCCCCCACAGCGACCAACGAGAAATAAAAAAAAAATTTGCCGGTCGCCAGGACGATTTCATTGAAAGGTGAACAATGCAGCAGGCGCTATCATTCACCTGAAACAACAATAAGACTCACCATCTTGACTGTTGCCGCGATTTGAAAACCGAGTTGTCGACGTTGGCTGCAGAGGAGGACTGAAGAGGTTGGAAATTTCGTGAGTTGGACTTTGTGGATGGTTTCGCTTAGCGTGGCTGCATCCCAGCGCAAAATTGAGGTTGGCCACGAGCGGGGGAGAACACAACGGAGTAAGGACAGCACTACGCAGTATTGGTAGACAATTCAAAAAATACTGTGAATAACACAACACTGTTCTAGTTAATTCGAAATATTGCACATGGGGAATTTGATACAAAGGAGAATTATCTACAAAAAGGATATCTATCGCATTTGGCGCAGTAATTGCGTTGCAGTTTCTCTCGGCTCAAAGCTTGGCCTTGTCCCCAGCGTCTAGCAATTGCAGGCCAGTGATCTTCTCTAATTCTCTGATAGCATCCTGTGTCCGGCCGAGGTTGACCTTGATTGTTCGCAATCCAGCCTTCTTTGCGGCCTTCAAGTTCTCCCCGATGTCATCGAGGAAAACAACATCCGAAGGCTCAACCCCTTGCAAGCCCTTCTTTTTCGCCAATGTGTCCATCTCCTTCAGCGCAGCTGCATAGATCTTGGGATCTGGCTTCCTGAGTCCTGTATGCGCAGATGAGATGAAAAAGTCAAATTGCGACTTGATGCCGTTTGAGTCACTGTTATAAGGGTGCCCATCAGGGAATATGACCGTATTTGACAGAGCGCCAATAATGAACTGCCCTGACGCTTTCAGCTTCTGCAGCGCTGGGTACATGTATGGGTCTGGGGTCCTTGACACTCGCATCATCTCCCAGAAGAGCCATTCTGCGTCGATTTTGGGCAATGGAGGTGCCGATGTTGGCACACCGGTTGTTTGCTTCTCCTGCAGTCTCTCATGGAACTGTTTCCATAAATCTGGGTTTCGTAGATCTCCGTTGAACGCTTTGAAGAAGTCCGCATTCAGTTTGATCTCGCCTCGCTCAAGCTTGTGCCAGCTGCCGTTTGGCGATGTGCGCGAGATACTGAAATTTACCCATCCCTTGGGGATGCTGTTTGCCAGCTCGTAGTCCAGAATGGCTTGAAAGGGAGAAACGACCTAGCCTTCATCATTAAAGTCTTCAAAGATATGGTTATTATTCGGCAGCCTTACACACACTCCTCCAATATCGAAGAGTAAGCCCACTGGTTTTTTGTTTTCGAGCATGATGTAGAATAAAATGGAAGAAACCCTTGTGATATCTTAATGGAAGATTTTTGTTAGATTCGATTAACCAAGTCACTCCGTATCAGCTTGCTGGGCTGAGGCCGGTATTTGTTACTGCGGAGGAGCAACCAGGCCAGAAGGTGGATTGCCGAGGTAAGAGAGAAGTAGAGCGTAAGCCATCTACCTCTCTAATGTGCCCACAAAGGCCGAGGAAGGGACTTGTATGATCACTAATTATTTTGACCACCTCAGCTTTCGCATAATTGCAAGTCGCAAATTGATAATGAAGACAATTGCAACCCTGGAAAGATCATTGGATCCAACAGCGAGAATGTAGTAAATATGCTCATATCACGTGATCTGTTATCGATAGCGAGATTCCACACGCGGAGCTGTTTGCGCGATCTGTTCGGGTGTCGGATTGAGGACGCAGGTGTCGACATGGGGCAATGGATGCAAGTCGAACTGTCTTCGAACTGAAATCAGCATTTATCAGGGCGCAGGTGCGGATTCTGTCAGAGAGCCTTGAGCCACCGGAGGATTGGAGAATCTACGCGACTGAGTCGGAAGAAGATGAGTTGAGTGATAAGGCGGTTCAGGATGCGCTGCAKAAATGTAAGTCTGTCCTAGGCTTAGTCCTTTGCTCCCTGCACTGCATGGTCTGCTCGAGATGGAATCCATGGCAAGTCATCTCAATATGTACCGTAGGCTCTAACGTTTTTCTAGTGAACGGAGCCTTGAAACAGCACAATCGTATCATCTACTCTTCTCAAGCAATTCAACATGTCGCACAACAGATCACAAGCCTTTACTGGTCTTTAGTTAGCCAGGCCACACACAATGTTGGCTTTTCCGACAAGCGGTTGGAGACAACAGTAGATTTGTGCAGTCACCTGTGAGTTCCGCGATATGGATACCTTTCAGCCCACCTTGCTGACATACCGCAGCAATATTACTCAATTGCCCGCGGAATTAGAGGACCAACATGCAAGTGAGGAGGAGCAGTTAAGGTTCGAAACCACACGATATAAGTTCGATTTCATCTGACTGATGGTCGTGGTATAGGTATCAGGAGCTACGAGAACGGCTTATGCGTCTAGACACTCAGCGACAACAGCGACAACGGCGCCTTGACCAGTTGAGGCGATTACAGAAATTACTGGAACCTTTCTCCGAGCCTCAGAACAATATCCAGCCCAATCTTGTCACGAGAGACGGAGAGCTTGTTCAAGAGTTGGAGAAAATGCGAATGCTTGTTGCCCGGGTCGGCGGCCGGATCGACCAGAGCAAGGAGAGCAAGACCTCGGAAACGAACCCGCCTTATGCATTAGGAGCAGATGAGAAGCTGGCAGCGCTTCTCGACATGACATGAACAGACCTGGACTCAAACTAGGCAGAGGTCAGATAGGAAGACTCCAGGAAACCGGCCTAGACGGGGACTATCTCTGTTATTCCGAAGCAAGGCAGAAGACAGTCAAAGCTTAGTCCTCTGTAGTTTGTATCATATTCCCTGTAGAAAAATGACAGATGCGGTTGCTATTTTTATGTTATTAAAGGGTTGCAAGGGGGTTTGGAGGGAAAACCTGGGGGAGATTGACTGCAGCGGCACGGCAGGTTCACATACAGCAGGTGCCAGCGACATAATAAAGAGGAAGTCATGAAACTAATGGACTACTTTCCTGCTAGTCATCATCGTCATCTACTCCTACCTGTCGTAATTTATCCTTTCTTGCCCCTCACTTAGTGTGGAACAACCGTCCAGATACTTTTTATCCCAGAGCTTCCATCATTAACCACTTCCTATCAACTGGCAACATGAAAGGGAGAGAAATTGATGATTCCAGTGCTCCTGTCCCCGTCATCAGTGAAGATGATCGGAGTTGTGTTTCCGAAACTCCGGCGCTTGACTGTTTTGGTGATGGCGTCCCTCCAGCTTCCCCCAAGCTTGACTACCCACCTCTAGCATCTCAGGCACCGCGAGAGCTCGAGCTGGATTCTTCTCTTCCACAGGCATCCCCGGAGGAGTCCCTTTCCCTTGTTTCGCCGACCGATAGTCCACTCTTCTGTCAGACCCCTCAATCCGGCACCATCGACGTGTCTACTTCCCCCGCGGATTCCAAGGCACCTTTCGTGCGTGGACATCGCCGTCGCTCCACCCACGTTAGTCGTGGTGACCTTGAGAAATTTAGAAAGGAAGTTCTAGGTATTGTTGAAGACCCTTCTCTCTGGTGCGAGGAGATTGGCGGATCTCCAGCAAGCGTCAATCCGTCTACGCTCGACGAATTGAACACTGCCTTCGCTTCCGCGAGTATGTCCCTGAACAGCGGCAGTGGTATTCCTAGCAACAACCCTGGTCCGGGCATGTTCTCTAATTACGTCGACAACACCGGTAACTCCGCAAATTTGCCTAACGCTTCTCGTCAGTCGATGTCCCCCGCCATGCCGAGCCCCTCGACTCAAGTCAACGGTGGTGGAATGCCCGGTATGAACGCTGGCATACCTATGAATGCGGGTCATCAAATGGATCTTCATCATCTGTATGAGATGGTGTTGGAGCTGAGTGAGGTTTTGAAGAACAACCGTGAGACGACCAAGAGCATTGTATCTACTGCGGAGGAAATCATGGTACGTTCGTCGGATCGTGAAAGCTACACTGTAGCTCTGCGAAGCTGCTGTTTGGGTGTTTCGCTGACAGAAATTGCAGAAACGTGCCTCTTCTGAGGGGACTACTCCTAGCTTGCAGCAGGTCAATGGTGAAATTTCCGGTAGGAACCCAAGTCTACCATTGTCCGTCCAATATTAGAAGCTGCTGACAGTCTCTACGTTAGCTGCCCGTATTGCCGAACTCGAACGTGCCCTCGCGAAGGAGAAGCGCCTTGTGGAAATTTTGAAGCAGGAGCAGGTTGAGAACACCAAACTGATCGGGGAATATGAAGCAGCTGTTGGGACCATGGTCGAACAGATCCGCAACTACTGTCAGAACAACAACATGAGCTACCTGGCCCAGAAACGCCACTACAACAATCTGCTCCAGGCCGAACGCGACGCTCATCTGGAAAGTCGTCTCGACCGCGATCATTGGCATGCTCAGACCATGAAGTGCGCTGAGATGATTCGCACCGCCTACCGCCTTCGCTGCGAAGAGGAAGAGCTGCCCATTCGCATCGTCTCTGGTCTACAGAACGAGGTACGCGCGTATCGCAATGCCCTTGGTATGGAGCCAGAGAAACCAGAGGAAGAGTATGGTTGGGAAATTCTCAAGGATGTGCCTCCAAGCGTTGACTAAAGGCGATGGTCGTCCGCATTCCGCGAGTACACGCTTGGGATTCAACGAGTTATGACAGTCCTCTTTTTGCTTGCTTGATGGATAAGGCGTTCTTGGGAGCAAATATTGGGTGGCTGCGGAATTTCCTGGTGAAGATACCCATCTCTGCAATGCTTATCTCTATGGTCTCTTCATTCGTTCAATTTTAGCTTTGCCGGCGATGGTCGCTCAGTGTCTGGATTTCTGGAAATCTGGAGAATCCTGGTTGATATCCATGATTTTGGAAATCATCTTGACTCTTGAGCATCCCAACGCGACAGGCGCTTTGCTTGAATTCAATCCATTTGCCTATCTGTAATTGCAGCCTTGTACCAAGTCCAATTGACCCTGAGTCGAATCGTAGGATCCTTCCAGCTCTGGCATGTCAATATCGTACATGACTCTCGAAAGTAGGGCTCTCATAAGTAATTATTATTATGCTGGCCATCTAATCCAAAGTTCAATCGGTGTAAAAGACTTCGTCCAGGACCTTCCACCACCCAGGCCCTTCTGCACTGCCCACAGCGCCAGGAATGGGACTCTCCTGCAAGTAAGCACACATCAGCATCGTCCCGTTGTCTAGGTTCGTAATGTCAATCAGCTGAACCAGCATACCTGCATCCTATCAGTCATCACCCACCACTCGCGCACTTTCGGATTCGCCCTCATCTTCTCCATATCGGCCTCATAATCGTCGCCGACATACGTGAACGTCGCAAATAACGTGCGCTCATTGTCGAAGAATATCGAGTCTACGTAATCACTTAATCAGCTAGGCCCCGAAGAACCTTTGATCTCTGCATATGTAAAGTTTCTACGCACAGTCTCTGATATTGCAATCCTCAGTCTGCTGCAGGACCTCGGGCCATACGTTCGCGTGGCATTCTTTGTAGGCCGCGACGGCGGAGGGCTTCAGATAGACGATTTGCGCGATGCGGCGGACTGGTGCCATTTTTGGGCTGGTGAGATGGGCCGTTTCGGTCGAGGTGAGATGATGTAGCTATGCGATGCTAGCTATTGATATTGGGATGAATGGAAAAGGAATTTGTTGATCTGTTCTGATTGTGATGCCCCTCTTCGGGAGATATGGGGCAGGACTCCGGTCGGGATGCTTTGACCCGAGATTATTAGATTATGTGGGGATTATACGTTTGCGAGACCCTGATGGTGATTATTAAAGATCGATAAGGGTTTATGTACGGGCGTGGATCTTTTGGAGTGAGAATGTGCATGTTTGAGGATTATGAAAATTTCACTAAGACTATTATTCATTCCAAGGTGATATGTAAAAGGTTCCAGGTTGCATCCCAAACGCCGATATATGTATCGCTGATCATCCGAGGTATCCCAAATGCAAGTCGGACGAGAAATCATGTAGGAGGTTGTATCGTAACAGGTCGTACTGTGGTCATTGCGGCATCATCTGGGATTTCGGTACTGGTCGAATCCACGAAACGGCCAAGTTGGCGGCGATGGAGATCACGCCGATGATCCAGAGGGACCGGCTGTAGTGCGTCTCATTGTATCGGAAGATGATGGCGAAGATGATACCACCAAGGTTTCCCATGCCGCCCACAGCACCGGAGACGACGCCTGCAGAGACAGATCGTTTAGCAAGTGGGCCTTCAGGGAGAGGACGGAAGAGAGGTTTCTTACCATTTGCGAAGGGATGAACATGAGGTACGACAGCAAAGTTGGCGCCATTGCATGCTTCCAGAAAGAATGCCAGTCCGGCAGTGAGACCGAACATCGTTGCTTTGGATCCGGGATTGGTGAGGCCAATGGCCAGTTGGAAAGCACCCATGACAACGCCGAGGAAGGAAAGAAGAAGTTTCTTCGACCATACAGCCCCTGTGTGCTTGTACAGCATGTCTGCAATGAATCCACCTGCAGGACGGAAAACAACGTTGAGAAGACCGAACATAGCTGCCCAGCGGCCGGATTCGGTTTGCCCCATGTCAGGGAAGTTCTTGGAATAGAATTCGCCCAGAATGGAGTTTATAGCGAGCTCAGACCCAAAGGAACAGGCATATGGGATGGCAACAGCGGCCGTGGAGAGACTGAGAAGGACGTTCATGACCTCCTTGCGGCTAGGGGCCACCACAGTGTCTGTTCTGAGAATGTCAACCTGTCCAACAGCTTGAGCTTCAGTATCGACCATCTGAGGTGTTTGGACACCCTTCTTCTCCGATTGAGGAGTGGATAGATTGATAGACGGAGGACCAGATGGGCGGGTAGAGGGGCTGCCTGACATGAGGTTGATAATATTGGCTTGGGATTCATTGCTCTCCTTCATCCAGATATGACGCTCCGACCATTTGCCAGTAGGGGTATCCTCGCATATGAACAGCATGCCGAGAGCCAGGACGACGATGATTATGAATGGGACAATGTACGCAACGCGCCATGCTTTATGGGGGGTGAGGCCCTGAGAGTGAACAAGTGAGTCGTAGATGGCAGGCATGACGAAACTACGAGGAAAAATGTCAGCGAGGCCCATGAACGTAGATCTATCCGGGCGAGCGGCTTACTATGTGATCCCACCTCCAGCATTACCCCAGCCTGCGGCCAGAGAGTTGGCAGTCCCCACAATGTTCTTATCGAAGAAACCGGTGCACCATACTTGGCAAGGGACAAATGTACCACCAAGAATGCCAACGAAGAAACGCAGGGCGATTAAACCATTAGGGGTGGTCACCAGACCAGCCATAGCTGTAGGAATAGAGCCACAAAGCAAGAGGCCGATGAAAACAAGTCGAGGCCCGAAGCGGTCACAGAGCGGCCCAGCGATGAAACGAACAAGGAATCTGTGCCTGTCAGCTGTGGGCTCCGATGGATCTATCTGTTCAATTCTTACGTAGCCAGAAGAGCAACAATGTTCGAGTTTGCGACTTGTTGCTGTGTCATATGGAGATCTTTGCGAATGGTCACCGTTAACTAGGCAGCCATTCTCAGTCAATTGTTCCACGTTTCCAAGTGCTTCCTGTTTAGTAGACCATTGACTTACCAGAGGTGGAAATGCATACCATGACAGGAATGCAACCATGAAGCCAAGCCACGAGAAGAAG